TCGTGTATTCAAGTAGTATTTCACTACAAGATATTATCAATGCTTCTGCTACCCACAACAAAGAACAACAGTCATCACAAGCACGTCGAAACCAAACCAACACCCAAGATCCTCCTCCTAAACTTCTTATGTACGAAGCGGCACAGTTGTTAAAACATCAAATAAAGCAGTGTAAAGGCATATCTATTTATCCAGGAAGTGTGAATGATATAGATCAAGCAACAGCTAAAAATGTAGTAACTGGAGACCTATACCTTTTCTTGCGTTGGTTGATTACCAATGACGGTGTGGATGTAGATGCTGAGTCAGATTGCAGTAATGATTCAGATGAACGAAAAGTTCTTTGTCTCACTCAAGATGTAATTCACTGCACGTCTCATGGTCGGGTAAACCTGGGTCTCGTCATGTCTGTGCACCATTTGACTGGATCTAAACAGTGTCCATTCTCAATCTTATGGGCGTACTGTTCATGCTACAGCGAAATAGAAACTGTAGACACTGCTCTAGCAAGAGAGTCTCTGGCAAAGTCGGAGTGTGATGGCACTGTCATACCTTCTAATATAACACCAGATACGTTTATTCAGTTTGCGGCAGATAACAACGACATAAACGAGGAGACGCTTGACGGAAAGGATACAACACATGCTACAACATTAGTTGTTTATCAGCAGAAGCCATTTGGCCCAATGCCACGGAAAGAAGTGCTTGCCAATCATACCAAGAAGAAAAGGTCTCTGACAAAAGTTAACAGCTGTGACGAAATTTTGGAATGTTGAGCTCATGGAAAACGCCCGATTGTCACAGATTTTCTTGGTCAAATTGGTACAAAGTCTTTTCACACCACAACTAACGCATACATATCATTATGCAGGATGGATTTGACGTGGGCACTTGGACGTATGTCCCAAACGAAATTGTTTGATATCGCTGAGGTCACAAAAGAGGAAACTGACCAGCCCATTCCAAGTTGGAGTGGATTTATTAACTCCATGTTGTTCCCTGGTACCGCACAGCCTACGGTAATTGGTTACTGTCCAATGATAAATGGTTCTTCCACCGAACTAAGGACGGTAAACACGGTTATGAAGAAAGCGCAAAATATCTGCTCAAGCCTTCAACAGAGGAGACATGGTCATCACATTTGATCTGGCGATCTACGTGAAAGCGAAACAAATCCAATGGAAATTTCCTGAAGAGTTCTCAGACACCGTAATTCGTATGGGTGGCTTCCACATTGCATTGAATTTTCTTGCGGTCTTAGGAAAGAAATATCAGAACTCTGGCTTGGAGGATGTATTAATAGAATCTGGGGCGTATGGATCTGGTAGCGTAATGGCGTTAATGAAAGGAAAGACATACAACAGAGGGGTGAGAGCACACAAACTGGTCATGGAAGCGCTATTTCGTCTGATGTGGCAATCATTTCTACATTGGTTAAACGGTGGAGGTATGGAATCCCAGGAGCAAATTGTAGATGAAGAGCATATTACTGATTCAATCAAATCTTTTCGTTTGGCTGTTCAAAATAAAGATCACGTTCCACAGAGTTTGGAGGCTACTATGTCCGAATTGTTTACTTTGTTGGAACTTTTTGAAGTCTTCAGACAAGAACAGAAGTCCCGATCGAAGATGTTTGATTTCTGGAACGAGTATATCAGCATCGTTATGAATCTTCAATTTATCAAAGCAGAACAAACGTGAAACTGGTCTCTTCATCTTGCAGCTACATCAGAAATGGTACCCTACTTCTACGCCCATGACAGACCTAACTACTCTCGGTGGCTTTCTGTGTGTATTAGGCAGACATGGAACAACTTGAGAAAAACAATCCTGTTGTTTACAATCAATTCCAGGATGGGGGCCACGCTGTGAATCGCTGAAGTCAACCATTTGCTAAAGTATGGACTGACATGGCACTTGAGCAATCTATCAATTTAGATTCCAAATCTAAAGGAGGCATGATTGGGATCAGCCAAAATCTAGAAGACGTACTTCAAAGATGGTTCTTAACCATCCATGAAAGACCAGCCATCATCACAGCAGTAAAGCAAATGTGTGGAATTAACGATTCGGACAGAGTTGGAGAGCATGATGAGAAAGATGTTGAGAAGATAGTTGCTTGTTTCAAATCTGGTCTCATGAAGGATCCTTTTTCGGATGATAACGATATTTTGTGTAATATTGCAACTGGTGTTGTGTTGCCTGAAGAAGTAGCACACAGATTGGTGAAAAGCAAAGAAGAGGGTCTGATGCAGTTGGACTGCTTCGTACAACAACGCTTACATTGTAACAGTCTGAGCTTTTGGGACGCCATTCCAAACCTAAAGATCAAGACGTTTAACACCACAACAAAGAAAATCAGAGTCCCGTCTTCAAACGAGAAGTCTGTTGTCATGACTGAAGACAGAGATCTTTTTGGATGGCTGTTAATTGTTGCCAATGTTCGAGAAATCAACCTAAGAGAAGTTCTCAGCTTTGAGCTTTCAGCAGTACCATACTCCCTGGCACATTCTGATAGCACTCTTCGCAAGACGGCAAAGAGTGTACTACTCCAAATTTTGGAAAATTACGTCACTGTGGAATCACGACTTACATCTATTCCAGGGATCGCAACTGTCTATATCCTTGACGGCATGGCACTGGTACAGATGATGAAATTTGCAGGAGTGACAACATTTAGTGAGATGGCAGTCAAGTACTACGAAGTAATCACAAGTTACTTTAGGCAAGGAAACTGTCATCGAGTTGACATGGTTTTTTACCAGTACTGGCATAGTTCCATCAAAGGAGGGGAGTAGAAGAAATGCAGAGAAGCAAATGCATTAGAAAATGAAGATTCATGGAGAATCCACCCCAGTTCCTAAACAGTGGAATAAATACATCTCAAATGTGAAGAATAAAGTAAGCCTTTGTGCGTTTCTGACAGAAAGCTTCTGTGAAATTGGAAAACGTCAGCTTCAGCCAAACAAGCAACTTGTCATTGGAGGAGGAATGAGGGACGGAGACCTTGCACTATCGGTCAGGAATGGTCAAAGTCTTACCGTTCCAACTTTAGTATCAGATCATGAGGCAGACATGAGAATCATAATGCATGCAAAGCATGCTTGTGAAGATGGTCAGGATTGTAGTACAGTCCCGACACTGACGTTCTGCTTCTCTGCGTGTCACATTATCGTGAAATTGGATGCCAGCATGCAACTTAGAGCTTACCAATTCCAAATGCTCTAAGTCTTCATGCACACAGAATTGCTCTTGCAGCAACAATGATCTGGCCTGCACTGAGGCGTGTAAGTGTGTGGCTGATGAGAAATGCCATAATCCCAACAAGATGCATTGTTTCAACTCAGAAAATGAAGACTCGGAAGAGTCAGACAGTTATGACGAGTGTGCCGATTAAAGACATTAATCGAAAATGCCAAACATAGCTGGGTTCAACTTGCTCATATATAACTGATTTACCACATGCTAACTTTTTCAAAGATTTCTTGTAAATTTTCTGAGCATAAAAATAAGTGATAAAACGAAGCCAGTTTACTATGTAAATGAATTTGAAAACATACAAGTCCATATTAACCAAAGTATCGATTAGTTCTCTTAAAGTGGCTCATTGCTGTTTTAACTTTGTAGCGCACAATTCCTTTTACTGTTTATTGTGCAAGGTATGGTCATGAAACTTGGCTGCAACATTGCCACAGTATTGTGCTGCATGAAAAATGCAAAAACGTATTTCGTTTCTTCGTTGCCATGGTAACAAAGCCATTTTCGAAAGATCGTGTTTTCTATTTTTCTTGGATTCTTTGAAATTATTTAATCGGTTGTGAGCCACCTTAAGTGAAAACTGATACTACATTTCGACTCTACAACATGCCTAGCGTTAATCAGTGATGTTTAATCTACCAGAATTCATTTTCAAACCTTTACTGTGGAATGGGTTGATCGAGATAATTTTCTCCTCAGCCCAGCTCCCGGACTAAATGTTCATAAGAATAATTTTTAAGAGTCGAATAGAATATTTACAAGTAATGATTATAACATAACTAAGTATTTAATAAGAAGAAGAAAAGTTTAATTTAACCAAAAATTATTTCTCTATATACAAGACATGAAGGCTTTGTGTTTTCTGATGCGTATATACAAACATTATGACTAGTTTCATGACAATCAAATATATTCCAAAAAGAATATCTTTGATTTTATTTTAAAAGTAAAATAAGACCTAATATTGCTAATCTTTTCATCAACGGAATTCCATATTTCAATTCCATTGTTAATAACGGTATGTTTGGCACATTGGTTCTTTTATATAGTTAATGCGAAATTTGTTTGCATTGATCTGAAGTACTATTTAAAGCACACATAGGAGTATTTTATCACATATAAAACACGACGCGTAGCAGAGTGTTTTATATGTGATAAAACATGACTACAAGTGCTTTAAATAGCTTCAAAAACGACTCATCTTGTACGAGTTCATTGGCGAAGTAATTTTTAAAATAAACTTTGTCTAAACCGCGAAAATCAAAGCTAAAGTTTATGTAAATTAACGTGATTTTTTATCACATATAAAACCACGACATGCTTATGATTTTTCTTTGTGTTTTGCTCCTGAATTATTAACGAGTTTTTGAAAATTTTTTAAGATCTTCAACTTGTGAAATAATGGTTCAGTGTGTTCAAGATAGGATTAAAAGGTGATCAGTCTAACGTATTCATATATTTGAGTAAGATTTATACACAATTAAGTTATGAATATGTGTGTATAGTATATTCGCCTCGATTTAATTGTTTACCTGTTGAACTGAATGTTTAGATCACTAATCCACTATCATTCAGAAATTCCTTTATTCCAACCAGGTTTCATACTTCATTTTTCATATATTTAAGACACCATATATAAAAATTGAGCTTCATTTCAACTGTATTGATAATAGTATTTGTTATATAAAAATCTAACACACTGTGTTTCCTCCACACAAGGTGCAAAGGAGACTGAGGATCCGTCCAAAACTTGGCATAATTAATTATTAAATTAATAATTCTTTGTGTTCCAGCTTTTCTCGTTCCGGGTTTTAAAGATTCTGGCTTTTCTCGTTCCCGGTTTTAAAGATTCCGGCTTTTCTCGTTCCGGGTTTTAAAGATTCCAGCTTTTCTCGTTCCGTTCCTCGATTCCCTGTTTCTGGTTTTAAAGATAGCCTAAGAATGATGAGTATTGATTTGTTGTTATTGTTGTTGTTATAGTTGATTTGTTGTTATAGTTATTTGTTTTTTCCTGTTCTGTTAATTGCCCCAAAGAATGAGGAGTATCGATTTGTTGTTATAGTGCCCATCAGACTCTAGCACTACCAGGCTTATATATGCCTATTGCCTATGGTCTATGCTGATGCCACTTTCATGGTTATAAGCAGTCATTGGTTATTAGGTATCACAATTACGACTAATCTGTTGGGGGGGGGGGGGCATCTTAGATGGTTTTGATCCTCAAACCGTTATTTTTAGGCTATCCACTCATCTCTGGGGTGATCAGTGGGCCCAACCAACGGGTGGGCCAACCGACAGGTTTGCTTTCGTTTTCTGTGGTCCACATTTTAAATGTGCATACCTCCTGGTATCACCACATTATGGTTTAACTTTTAGTATGTTTGCTCCTTAGTGTAGCTGCCTGGTTTAAGGTGGCTCAATACAGTTTAAAAAATATCGAAAATTCACAATTTAGATCATAAATTCACGATTCATAAATTCACAATTTATGCAATGGATCAGGATTTATTAACCGTCCTTGGGTTTCATCAGTGTTCTTCTTACGAATCTTTCAAACTAATTTCAAAACATATCCATTTCAAAACATATCCAGTAATTTCAAAACATATCCAGTAACTATGACGAGCTTTCTCCAACTTGAACGTTTCAAGTTATTATCCCCCGAGATACATCATCAGCCACATTTGACTCGCTGAATATATGTCTCCATTGTTTCGGATTACTGTTGCTCTGGATCTCTCCAACTCTTGAGGTAACAAACTGCTTGTAAACTCGACATGTACTTTGTATCCATGCTAAGACAATTTTACTGTCAGTGAGTGAAATAGATTATTTCTTCAAATTCCAATTGTGACTCCTTCTGAATGATTGTTGACAGATGTGATGCTAGTAGTGCAGCTTGTAGCTCCAATCGTGGTATGCTTAGCTTCTTTAATGGAGCGACTTGTGATTTTGCAGCGACAGAACGGATCTCGAATGTTCCATCTTCCAACGGAGATATGCACATGTCCCAAAAGCACATTCAGATGCATATGCGAAGATACATAAAATTGGCAGGCCAATGCTATCGAGTGCAAATAAACCTCTCGTGAAGGATACTTCATTCAGGGTTTTCAATTCTTCAAAGAACTTCGTCCATTTTGCTTGTAGGTTCGGTGATAATTTGTCGTCTCAGTCAACTCCCATTTCCCACAGCTCTTGCATTCGAATTTTGGCTCAGATTAGAAATGCTGTCACAAAACCGATTGGATCATAAACTTTTGCTACCTGACTGAGGATCTTTCGCTTCATGCTTGGCTGGTTACACTCGACTTTCGTTATAAAACATAACTCATCTTTGGCACTATTCCAGACGACACCTAACACTTTGTCATTTGAACTTGGTTGAAGGGGTTTTACATGTTGTTGTTGCTCGATATTTGGGTCGAGATCTTTGTTGGATAACCATTCCTTTATCTCGAATCCTCCCTTTTCCAACAGGCTGTCAATTTCACTGGTTAACTGTCGAGCATCTTCAGTTGAATAGACTGATTCGCAAATGTTGTCCATATAACTGTTATCTTGTGCTGCATCGGCTGCACGTTTACTCTCTTTTTCTCCTTCCTGTGCTGTCTTACGTAGGGCAATTTGAGCCATAGCTGGAACAGGCTTATCTCCAAAGGTAAACACCGTCTTGATGTAGGTATCGGGTGGTATCCAGGTTTTGCCAGAGAAAACGGTGAACATGTTGGTCTTCGTTTGGTATCAGTACTTGGTACATCTTGGAAATATCGCCAGATACCGCAACTTCATTCTCTCAAAATCGGAGTATCACTCCAAATAAACTATTGAGGAGATCTGGGCCTTTCAACCAGTAATCATTTAGAGAATGTCCCTGATACATGGCGGATGAATTGAATACAATTCTGAGAGGGGTACTTGCTTTGTTGTGACACAGAACGGCATAAAGGGAAACATAATGTGCCGGACCTTTATAATTTTTTAGCTCTTCTTCAGTTAGGCTGCAGCTTGCTCTGGTTGTTTCATTAGTCTACGCTCCATGGACATCAATTGTTTAACTGTCTGAGAACGGTTATTCGGTAATTGTTTTGGGTCTTTCTTCCACGGGTAAGATATCAACCATTGATTGCCAACTTTCTTGCATGACTTCTCTATAATATAAATTTCTCCGGTTCACACAGACACGGTTTTACTTCTACACCCATTGACACTGTTGTCCAGAAGTTGGTTAAATCTACGGGCTTGGAAAACTTGACGCAAAATATCTTATTCACTCGATTGGTCTCTCCAGGTGTATTATAACATTGTCCCACTAGATGAACTAACAGTGATATCTTGAGTAATCGTGTCCAAACATATCAGGGGTCTCCGTAAACAGAATCGAGGTATTCCCACGCTGCATCGTAATCTGAGCCTATTCCTTTAATCAACTCAAGTGGTTTACCCTGTGTTGCATCAGCACGGAAAATTGTGCATTCTCTTACATCACCGGTAAATTTGGGCATCTTAGGCTTTTCCATTTAAAAACTACATGTTTGACTCATGCTTTGCTCGTTCGCATGATCAGCTGGAATATGTTCATAACTCAATTCGATCTGCCAATATTGATTTCCGACATTAGTGAGTATTTGCAGTAGGAATACGAAAATACCACCAAAAAATTCCGCTTGATTGATACTATATATACTACATATGAAATATTCGTATAATTTTATTGTTTCCTACTCAATTTAGAGTGAATTTCTTACCTTGAAACCAGGGGTGGAAAAAGTATCGGAAACTGGGAACCTAGTTCCCAGAAATTTTTTTGAGTTGAGAGTTTTGCAGAAAATTTTCCAGAAAATATTTCAACATTTTGAGATAACTCTGTTTACTCAACTAACAAGTTACAACTATTCTACTTTATTTACACTGTACATGCTAACATCAGCAGCTTTTAAATATTTGACAGAAATTAATTCTTTTACCCA